AAAAACCAAATTAAAATCAAATTAAAATATCCCTTAGGCCAGTCCCGCTAGCTGGAATAGCCATGTCTTGAGGGCGCGGCGGAAGGAGGGGAGATCCGGAATGACCCGGATCTCTGGGGGTAATTCGTTCCATAGGGAGGGGGCTCCAACAGAGAAGGCCCTCCCCCTGGGGGTCGCCAGCCGGCACTGTCTGACTGACTGTCTAGAGCAGGGGTAGGCAACCTTGGCTCTTTTATGACTCGTGGACTTCAACTCCCAGAATTCAGTCATAAAAGAGCCAAGGTTGCCTACCCCTGCTTTAGAGGATGTCAATTTAGAAGAAAGATGGTCAAAACTAATAAATCCCAGCAGGCCTAAAATCTGTGCATCTCACTTCCCAAATCAAACCTGATGATCAATAATTGCCTTGTTAGAGAGAAGGAGGCTGGATTTAATTCCAAGTGTTCCTTCATTTTTTTATGCTTTCTTTCCAAGAACTTGAGACGCCTCACATATGGGTCACCCTACATTTTATCCACAGAACAAGTAGATAGGTTGAGCTGAGAGCACGGCAGAGGAGGAGCCTCCCTAGCCACTACATCACACTACTGAACAGTCTCGTTTTTATATTGGGTTGGGTTGAATGCTGGAAGATGTGGAGCAGGTTCATGGGCATAGTTTCACAAAGGCTTGCCCGGTCCATCCAAGTTGTGCTAAGCAGAAATGACAATTCTGGATTCAGGTGACCTTCTTAGGAAAGTCATAGGGCCTTTTCTCAAAGTTGAGCCAAAATGCTTTTAACTGATCCTTGAATTGGCTAGAAACTCTGCAGGTCTAAAATCGGCTTTCACTGTTGCTAATCCATTTCCTGTCCGTTCTGTGCCCAACCAACTGCCGTGACCCCCGACTTTTCTCCAAGATAATGGCTGAAGACATCTAACTTGAAAACCAACCTATATGGATGAGGTTGACTTAAGCCTGCATCTCTCATGGCTTAGGGCATGGGTATCAAACTCAATTTCATTGAGGGCCGTATCAGCATTGCAGTTGCCCTCGGGGGGCCAGGTGGGTACGGCCTACTGGGTGGGTGTGGATGGAGTGGGTGTGGCCTGCTGGGTGGGTGTGGCCAGCTCTACATCATTCGCGTCAAGGGTGCCTGTGGGGGCCTGGGCAGGAGTGGGACAGATCTGAGGGTCTTTGGCAGAAAGGGGTGGGACCAGGGCAGAGCCCACCAAGCCGGATATGTGAAGTAGGTGAGGGCCGTTTGCTGGCCACTTCCAGGCGATGGTGCATTTCTTGATTTCTCATAAAGGGTGACACCTCCCCAGCATGCACTCAGGAGGTGGGACGACACGGCAGGGGCTGGTTCACTGTTTCAGACGGCCTTGTGGAGCTAAGACTGAGTGGCTCCCGGCTGGCCTGGGCCAGGCCAAGGCAGTGGGGGCCATTCCCTCACTGTTTCCAGGATGGCTTCGCGGGTCACATGAAACCACTTCGCGGGCTGCATCCGGCCCCCAAGCCTTGTGTTTGACATGTCTGGCTTAGGGGATGAGATGAAGGCAATGTCATGGGAACAAACACACAAACGGTGATCAGGGTGTGTTTGTGCCATCTTTGGTGCCAGTGAGTAAAGGTGTGCAGATGATGAAGAAGATGGAAGTAAAATAGGGGCTGCCTTCATAGTAACCAATCCAAATAAATTAGTGTGTGGTGCGAATGACCGCAATAGCCTCTGCCTGTTGCCCTTATTTTGGGTCGGCCTTAGTACATCTGTGATTTACTGTACATGCTTCCCTGTTAAATCAATTTCTCTGGGTTTTTTTACTCCATCTGTAGCCTGATTCCAAGTAGAACCCCCCCTTAATGATTTAATTGACTGACTTGTGTGTGCAGAGTGTATGTATTTAAGGATTTCTAGACAAACTGGTGACCAATTGGGTCACTCTTTGAAAGAAAGTGTGATCTGATATGATCAAAATGAACATAAAAATTTTAGGCTGACCATATTTTGTTACCACCTTGCTGGACAACCCCGTGATCATCTAAGAAGAGTATATATCATAAACAGAAAATGATTTGTAGTGGCAGATTAACTTCAATAAGTTAATATTTACTTACCTAACCAAAGAAAGAGAATGAAAAAGGGTGAACAACAACAACAAAAACAGTGGGAGCAGAAGTGACTTCTGATTTCCTGCTAGCTTCCCCATTGACTTTGCTTGTGGAAACCAGGTAAGGAACATCAGATATCATGAATAATTGACGGCAGGGACACTGCAGCAGCCACAACTTTGTCAATAAAACTGGTCTGAGTATCATGGAAACGTCAGTTCTACAGGAGTCACGGCTCCCGGATTGTTTACTCATTCTTTCAGCTTGTGGATTTTAGGTACTTTGATTCAAAAATTGTTCCGTACAATGCACCATTTGGGTTAACTTGAGGATGCAAACAGATAAAGACAGCTTTAATAGAATATAGATAGATGTTTTTAGTAACTTCACAATTCAAGTAATTATATTATGCCAAGAGAGGTTCAATTACTGAACCAAGGATAATACTTTTTTTTAAAGGCAGGAAACATAACACAAGAAAGCAATATGCACCACAAACATCAGATGGAATGCATTAAATCCAAGACAAAAATATTCTCAATTTAGAGTAACTCCCCCAAAATGGTGCATGGGAATTTTAATGTTTTGGGAACAAAGTGAGCATGTGCTTCAGATGGGAATGGAAATGTGTTTGTGGTATCCACAATGCAAGGACCTCTGAGTATGTGTGTGTGTCAAAAAAAAAGGATGAATATAAAAAGGGATGGAGTACAGTCACCATCTACTTTAAAAAAAAACTGCTCTGTGGATGCTGCTGTCCTGAACTAACAAGAAATATTAAGAGCTTATGTGTAGAATGTTAACTGGATCAGAGACAAGACTAACCAGGTTTACATATACTAGAATCTAACGTGGTTGCATAGTGGTTAGAATGCAGTATTGCAGTCTAACTCACTGCTCACTGCTAGGAGTTCGATCCTGACTAACTCAGGGTTCACTCAGCCTTCCATCCTTCCAAGGTTTGCATTACTCCTTAGAATAGACTAGAGCTGGAAGGGACTTTGGACGTCTTCTAGTCCAGCCCCCTGCTTGAGCAGGAGAACCTAGGCCAGTAAAATGAGGACCCGTATTGTTGGGGG